CATTGAAGAAATTGTGGAGCTGTCGGGAGTGACTTGGAGCTCAGCGGCCAGATTTGTGGCAGTCGGGTGACTGGTTTTTCCATCATGACAATGCCCCTGCTCACACAGCCCTGTCTGTACGACAATTCTTGACCAAAAATGGTATGACCCCTGTTCCTCACCCTCCATACTCACCCGACCTTGCCCCGTGTGATTTTCTTTTTTGTTTCCTTGAATGAAAAGAGACATGAAAGGAAAGCGTTTTGCTGATGTTGCTGAGGTGAAGGAAAAAACGATGGAGGCGCTGTCAAGCATCTCAAAAGATGAATTTAGACAATGTTTTGAAAAATGGAATAAAAGACTAGACAAGTGTATTGGTGTAAGTGGAGAGTACTTTGAAGGGGATTGAAGGTTTGTGCTTAAAATTTGAATAAATAAGTTTAAAAAAAAATATGTTCGGTTTCTTTTGGATACCCCCTCATATAATGATACAGTCCAGTCCAGTAAATTGCTGCTGGCCCTCACCAGGACAGTTGTTCTTGGTTTCAGATCAAGATAAAAGATTGTGCATGGAAACATTAGCTAGAGGTGAGAATTGTCAAGTTTTTCCATCAAATTTTCAACAGACATTTTAGTAATAATGAAATGTTTTGTCATTAAATAGCCTATGGATTTTTCAGGGCTGCCCCACTTGTTACATATTTGTTTTCTTGTTTAACATTTTATTTAGGATGGGCAGGTGATTTATCTGTAGATGTATCTGAAGCTGCAACACTTGTATTATCTCAGATAGATATAAGAAGTAAGCCTGAAGACTGTCCAAAACTCGAGCATTTATCATGGTCTAAAGGAGGTTTTCATCAGCTAGAGTCTGCTTTTGAGAGCCCGAGCCAAACCGTGAAGAAGTTTATTTTGAACTCATTATGCATGAAAGTGAGTAGTGTATGCCTTGTAATAATCTTAATACATGAATCTAAATCAATATATGAATACATACATTCATTTGTTCTGAAATCCATATACTGTATTAGAAATGGAAGTAAAATCCCTCATCGGAAGCCAGGACACTATGTTCACTTTCTTAATTTACTATATATTCTCCCCCCCACACACACAAAAATACTGTGACATGTTGCGCTATGCAGCGACACCCCTCCCCCCGCCAGCGGTTATGTAACGCTATCGGATTGCTGTCGTTACTAAGGTAACAGGCAAGTCAACACTCCTTTGTCTACCCGCCCAACGGTGACGTCGCCGAGGGATACCGCGGTTGCTAGGCAGCAGTAAACCACTCCCGATATTGTTGCTAACAACACGGCGCCAGACAACAGTGTTGCCTATTACGTGGCTGTTTTCTGTGTTGTCCGGAACGAGGCTAGATACGGAGCAGTGAAGACTATTCAGAGGGAGTGTGTGATCAGAGTTCTCCATTTACCCAGTGGAGAGTTCCGAGTTAGCCAGCAGTCAGTTCTCCAGTTCTCTAGTTATGAGTCAGTTACCAGTTACTTGCAGTACAGTATCTGTGATACTGTGATATGCCAATGGCAGTAATTGTGTGATTGTAAGAGCGAATGTGGAATAAAATTCGCTATATTCACTTAGGCGTGAAGTTATTTGTCGCGTTATACACCCAACACGTGACAACTGGTGTTTCAGAAGTGGGATTTGGACTTACACACGTGACGAACAAGATTCGAACTCAAGACACGTGACAATACAGTAGAGACAGATTTCTAAGTTTAAAGTGGTGTCACGCAGGACATTACTTAGAATCTTAATGTGACAGTACAGCGTGATCCTCTTGCTGGAGGCCACGGACCTACAGCTGTAAAATCACTCTTTAGGCACCAGTGGTAACCAGATGTAGGCACATATCTTAGTCCTTGTGATATTGTACCTGGTCATATAAGGTACTGAATGTAATTATCACTAGCATCCATATACAATAATGTGTGATACTCCAGATTTGTTAATAAATGCCATAACATGTTTCTGCTTTAATTCAGATTATATTCATGTGCCTAGGTGAAGTGGGATTCTTTATGGAGTTTGCTCACCAACTTGGAGGAGCTGAATGTAATGTATTGTATGACAGACATACGGAGCGTATGCTCTCAGAAGAACCTCCGTAAACTGGCATTACCTATATGCATTATTAGAGGTACATTATACATATAATAATACATACATTTCCACTGATATATGTTTAGGCTTCTGAATAAACAAGAGTTTCTTTGGAATGCAGTTATTTTCCCACCTGGCACTGATTCATTTATGGATGAGTCTTTTACATATGTATTACAGACTCAAATACAACATGTATTCTTGTCTCATATAGATTTCTTAATGATACATCTTGAGCTGTACACAGCCATCTTCAGGTACATATACATTTTTGCCAAAACTGTTTCACTATATATGTTATTTTTTCACTCCATCCTCAGACTTTTCATGCAACAGCAAATGTGCAAGGGAGGTTTCATGGCTGTGCTAAATTTTCCCTTCTGTCCCTGCATTCTTGCTCCTTCAGATACTTGGATACAAGATAAATTGGAGTTCACTGTTTGTTATGAACTACTATTCAGGTTCTGGTGACATTTTATATGAAAGGTCTTTGCATAAAATTTGACACTCATTTGGATTTCTAGCTATATTGACCAGCTACACAAAGCATACTTTATATAATGCCATAAATGGACTTCTCCATCTGTAGGTGTATCATAAACTGGTTCGCAGATGTTATTGGACTTTGGTATTGTACATTATAATGCTTTTGAAATATGAATTTTTCTCATTTTATCTGATACACTTTGTGTTTTGCAGAAATGTCATTTATAAACCAGTTGAAAGTAAGTTCAATAAGTTGCAAGGAACACTTGAGACTTTTGTATACTACATCATGGAATACACTGTTTCCAGTCTTGTTTTATACTTGGTGAATGAATTAATGTTTCATTTCCATGATTGTTTTAGAAAAGGAAGGGTCAGACAGCAGCCAGACGTCGGAATCACATGATATAATTCAAGTAGTTGTTGAGACATGCCCTAATATTGAAGAATTTGAGTTTACTCCATGTTTTCGCTGGTAAACCATCAGACTTTTAATGCATGTAGCTTTGAGTATGAGTATGAGGGGTGACTCATAGAAACTGGCCCTTGCACTGCAACCTTCAATGATCTATTGTGCTTCCCCTTTGGATTAACCCTTTATTAATCCTACACTTCCAATGAAATGTAGGACTTTATTTATCGGGGTGTCATGAAAGTCACTTGGTTCTATGAAGAATTTACCTAGGTGGTGATATCTTAGGTATTTTTTATTGCTAGTGGGGTGGGACTAAGTCCCTTGTGCTGTGGCCACTTCTGGCCTATTGTACCAGCCCCAGATGATAGATGAGGGTGATTGTGGAGCAGTTGCTGGAATGAAGATTAGCAGGGGAAACCGAAGTACTCGGAGAAAACCTGCGCCAGGGCCACTTTGTCCACCATGAATCCCACTTGACCAGACCCGGGATCGAACCCAGGCCACCGCAGTGGGAAGCCAGCGACTAACCGCTTGAGCTATGGCACGGCTGATATCTTAGATAAGTTATAGCCTCACAATCACATAAGATATGTGTGGCTGAACAATCTTCTTGTAGGCACCTTTCACAAGTTGGGTCATCTGTCAGCCCCAGTTTGAAAAGGTGCCCTTTTAGTTGGCAGTGTCCAATAAGTAATCCTACCACCCATCTTAATCGATCTCTGTTTAGTTTTAACAGGTCCCTCATTCTTTTGGCAGAGGGTCCTGATATAAATCCTTTTGCCTGTTTAAGTCAATTCATGTTACTTTAATTTACCTAACACACCTCACCATCTTATGTCATTGGCACATGTTAACACTTCGTGGACCGGTGATTTAAATATTTAAATTGTCCTGGGGACCGGCGTTTTTAAACCTACTACCCTAACTTGTGCACTGTTCACTTTAAAAATTAATATAAAATCTCCTAATTAATTTTATGAACTAAAATTTTTGGAGAAGACTTACCAGAGCTCCTAGAAGTGCTTCAGAGTGTGATATTTCTGGAAACCTTCCCCTCTGTGAAGAGGCATGACGCAGAACCTGCAGACATAGGAAGTTTTGCTTCGCTTCTTGTGCACAGCGCACACACGGCACTGCCTAGAAGGATACTTCCCCATCGATTGTTCGCTCATCACAATTTTCATGAGGGTATGTTTCTGCATATCACCCAAGAGTCGCCCAGGGGGTTCCATATGAGGCCTCCATGGGGTGGGAGTAGATGATCCTGGTCGTACTACATCTGTGTCTGACGCAGGTTCTGCCGCCACTGTGAGGTCTGTAGCCCAGGCTTTTGCCACATTCATGAGAAATGCCTTGTATTTCAAAGTTGAATTTTCGTTTAGCTCTTTGAAAACAAAAAATGAATTGAAAAGGGCACAATTTATAAGCCACAAGGCAACTTTCTTCGTCCATTTTACTGTTTTCCTAGGAAGGGAATAATAGGCCAAGTATTGGTCGGCTCTTATCAACTCCCTTCATGAACATATTGTACTGAGAAATACAAAGAGGCTTCTTCTTCACTTGCCCATGTCATCTTTGAAGATCGACCATGCTCGAATTGTGAATAGTGGATATCATATTCACAACACGAGTATCCCTCCAGGACTGAAGAAGAATGTCCCCCTTCCTCCTGAATGTGGTGTCACCATGTTTCAGGGATTTACATTCCTCTTTCAGATCTGGAGGAAGGCCTCTGTTCACCCTAATTGTACCACAAATACGTACTTTCCTTGAAAGTAGGTATTCTGCAGTTGCCACACTGTTATAAAAATTATCTTGATAAACGTGATAATTTTGATCCAGATAGGATCCAAAATGGAAACAATAGTTTCTTGCAATTTCTTGCCTTCACCGGAATAAATTTCTAAATTTCCAATATAGCCTGAAGTGCTTTCTGTGACTACACGAACAAGTAGGCCATTCTTTGTCAGTTTCCCAGTATTATACGTTCGAAAACGAAGCCTTCCCCTCCAAGGAATCACAGATTCGTCCAAAGACAGTTGCTGCTCTGGCTTATAAACTGTCTGAAATTTCTCAACGAAAAAGTCTAATAAGGGCTGAATTTTGAAAAGCCTGCCCATTGATTGTGGTTGCAGTTCATTATTATTGAAATGCAAACACCACCATATCTGTTCAAATCTCTTACGACTCATGAGTTTTCCGAAAATGGGAATTTCTAAAAATGGATCAGTGGACCAATAGTCTTTCAAATTATTCCTCTTTGTACACCCCATTAGAATGATTATTGCCAAAAATTTTTTCATTTCTGCTGAAGTGACATCCACATACTTCAACACCTTATAGGTAGTCGTACGCCTCACGGTGTTGGAGATAGTATCTGTTGGTCTCCTGACACAACATGTCAAAGAAACTATCTCCAGAAAACAGTTCAGCTACTTCAGACATTTGCGTAGGGTCCAATGGCATTTGTCTCACCCCTGGATCACCAGTAAACTTTCCCAAAGTGGGTGTTTTGTCCACTTTACTCCATGTGGCTGTCCCCGCAATGCTAGCACTCGCACTTTCATCAGAGCTCTCACCGTCACTTTCATTTTCTCTTCTGGTCACAATATTTTGGCGGCCCCTGTCACTGCCACCGACACTGCCCTAGCTATCAGAAGACGAAGCAGTTGGCAAATCAGATAACTCATCGGAGATCAAATCACAGATTTCTTCTTCTCCGAGAGCTCACACGGCCTTGAACTGCTTCGTCTCTGAGCCATGTTGACACTGAGAATATCTTGCCTCACACATAGAAGCTTCGACTTGAACAAAGGGACTTTTCTTTAGAGTGAGAGGGGAATAGAGAGTGGTCACGTTGCTGACTCAGAAAACAAACATTCCGAAGGTCAGCTACGCAGTACTTTTACAGACACCTGGCCACAAAAGGAAGGAATAGTGTGTTGCAACATAACGTGTCCTAAAAGCCTAAATCTAGGTGACCGGTCTGCCACGTTTAAAACCCAAACGCCTAGGCCTAGGCGTGCAGTCCGCGAAGTGTTACGGTAAAATGCTATTACTGAGATTAGGAGGCTCTGAAGCAGATTCTGTAATTAAATTCTGAAACACAATTATTTATGTATGTATATGTAGGAATGATATATCTGTCATATAGTGATTAGCACCTGCAATACTTGCAGTCTTAAGTAAGGTTTTGTGGGTTTTTCAGTTCTGTAAATTGAATGTCATGTTTTTATTTCCATCCCCCTAAATTTTTTAAAACTAATTTTACAGTCAACCGTTATTTCTCAGTTGATGTGTGACTTTGTGTAACCACACTTCCCCTTACTCACCTTACCTCACTACACTTCACTCACTGGGTTAAGGTGGACGTAGTTGCTCACTATGAGCCATCTGGTAATGACTTTGAGGAATGGGGAGCCAGCTCACATTGGTGAACACAGGATCTTCCTCGGTCATTAAAATGTGCCTTGGCTCCAACAACAGTCCACAAACCTAAATAACCATCTCACAAACTCTTCAACATTTCATTATAATTCTTCACAATTTTACATCATTAACTCTGACACAACATTGCATAGAGTACAAAAAAGCAGGAAGGCATGTTATGTTGTCTCATTGTTTAAAATGACTGAAAACAATGTTTTGTGTGGGTGGATCTGTTCGTAGGGTACGATTAGTTTAGGTTAGATCAGATGAGATTAGATTAGATTAAGTAGGTAGGCAGGTACTTTTATGAACTACATTGTAACCTCGATATAATGATGATTATAACATCATGAAAGTGCTTGTTCTGAAAATGTTTGAATTCCTAACTTTCATTTCATGTGTCATAATGAGATACTGTGGTTAAAAATGAATTTCACACAAGCAATAGTATCTATATTTTAGCCTACGTTCCTTAATTTAAAAGAATAAAAGAAGGCTTATGAAATCACTTTGCTGTCTATGTGCCCCATGCATGCATGTATGTGTGTGTTGTCATTGTTGCCAGTGATGTGGACAACCATGGTTGGCTTTTGGAAGGGGTGTGAATGTAACACATTTGTGTTTTCAGTGGATCAGAGAATGAACACACCTGTTCTAAACATCAGGAATCATCATTTGTGCTGTTTTCAAAATGGAAAAACCTCCGTCGGCTCAAACTGGAGGGGCTAAAGTGTGTTCGGTCTGGGAACTTTTTCATGCAGGTAAGTGTGATATATATAATGAAATCTTAGTATATCACAGGTACTGGGGGATAGCTTAAATGCCTATGTTAGAGGCTACCCATTCCACATGCAAAACATTTTGACTTGAACTAGCTTACCCAATTTAAAATGATTTGGCTTCTTGGAACCTTACCATTTCTTTCAATATTAAAGTGCTTCCTAAATTTACATTGTGTCTGAGTAGCTGAATCGTTATTTTTAAAAAAGCTGTGCACAGCAGTTGCATGATGCTCACATGACTAATGCTCCATGACAACCAATAGGCTTTGAACTGCTTTCTACACAGCCACAACAATCAGCATGTTCTCTGCTGGCATATGCATTTGGCATCAATTTCAAATCATCTGATAAATTCTTCCACATCCTGTATATAAAACTCATTCTCTGTAACTTTATTCTTATTGCTTAATACAATTAATTTTCCAGACATTTCAGCTGTGAAATTAACTTACATATTATAGGTTGGCCTACTGGATGTAAGAAGTGTGCCTGACTTCACCAGAGTGAACCCTCAAGAAAATTCACCGTACATATCCTGACATATTATAACTGTATATCAGTTTACTTGGAGGCCCTAAAATAGTCTGAGTTTTAACTGTAGTGCATCTATGCTCTCTGTTCCTGTTGTCTCTCTAAAACATTGTTGAGGGTACATCATCCGTTGAATAGGCAACCCTAGGTAAGGTAAAGTTGTCCCTGTGCTTAACTAATTAAGTGCTAAGTCATGAAGACGTATGGGGGAATGGATGTATAGATCCTCATTTTCTTGACCTCAGCACATGATGGAGGTGAGTGGTCAGCTTCACACCCTGGCCGCTTTACCCCCGGGAAAAAGCTCCTGATACCTGTTGTATATGAGGTTGGGTGGACCCCAGAGCTGGTCTGGATGATTGGAGAAGTAAAAATTCTTGGCCCTACCAGGACTCGAACTCCAACCCCTTGGTCATCCAGCCCATAGCCAGGTGCTATACCGACTACGCTATCCCAGCTCCTGAGTAAGCAGCCCTACAGAAGAAAAATCCTGTGTGTCCAATGAGACGTCCGGTGTAGCTGTTATTGTTTGTACTGTATGGTGAAAATAGAATGTAGTAACTTTGTATTAATAATGTATTGAGCCGTGACATGAACTAAGGATGGTGCTCCTCAGGTTTCAACTGCAGTGTCACTGCAGTTTTGTAATATAAGGAGTGTGTGGAGAGTTTTGGTGGAGAAACCTGTTGTAAGACATCCACTATGAAGATCAAGAATGTAATAGGAGTATAATATTAAGACAGGCCTTAGCTAAGGGAGATAAGTTTTGGGGATGTGGGATAGATGCAGCTTGCCCAGGATCATTTGCAGTAACAGGTTTTGATATTAGCATGGCCAAAAATCCGGATTCAGCTACCGCAGTTTTAGTTTAATTTCATTTACTTAAAATTCTCTCCTTTTATCATTCAGTTTTGTACATTCTTGTACTGTGTTGAGCATCACAGTATTTCAGCAATGCCAATTCCCGTACGACTTTTTGTGTGTTAATCATATTAAATTCGGGGCAGGGGACTTCTCACCAATTCCTTTATATTAACATAGGCACTAAGCAGGTCGGTCTAGAGGTAACACTGTAGGCTCATTATTTAAAGGTGGTCAGTTTGAATCTCATCTAGGTCACTGGCTGTTCTGACTGAAGTTTTTCAAGATTTTCCTTAGTTCCTTAAGGCAAATGCTAGGATAGTACAGTAATCTGTTTAGGCAGTGACCACTTCCTTCCACACCCTTTGAAGTCCAGTATTCATCAGTTGTCTGGCCTTGCAATGCTATATGATATTGATACTGAAAGCAGTGTTAAATACGTAATCCACCAAAATATTAACATTAGTGACTGAAATTGACAGTTAAAAAATTTAAGTGCATTCTGCACCACTTTATGTTCCATTAAAACCAGAATTTACAGCACGTAATTAAAGCGGAGTCAGATGTATTGCAGAGAGAGAGTGTGCATGTACATGCTTGTGCCACTCTAGTCTGTGAAAATCGATTTTATTTCAGATTTTCAAGTCTTGTGAGAATCTGGAAAGTATTTCACTAAAAAATCTTGGTCTCAGGGGGAACTGCAACTACTTGTTTGAACTCTGCAGTGCTCTGAAATGTTGCAAGAATTTGAGAGATTTTAGGTAAGTACATGTGTAATAATGTCTTTGTCTCTTTGAATGAAAGCATTAATATATATCTGTAGTTAGTCGTGCCTACACTGTGTTCCACACTGAAAATAAATTGACTTCTATGGTGAACTGCACCGTGAGGAGAATACACACATTTGTCTGAGTGTCCCTCTTCAGGTTTTCATAAAATTTTCTGTGCAGCACCTCTACTACAATTCATGAATAGCATAGAAATGTTTCAGTATCTGCTAAGTAGGATTGCCAACATTTTACCGAATCAGAAACAATCTTGATGAAAATTGTGTATCATAATGTGTGCAGGAAAGTACGAAGGGGTACCCAAAAGAAACTGAACTTATTTTCTTTAAACTTATTTATTCAAATTTTAAGCACAAACCTTCAATCTCCTTCAAAGTACTCTCCACTTAGACTAATACACTTGTCTAGTCTTTTATTCCATTTTTCAAAACATTGTCTAAATTCATCTTTTGAGATGCTTGACAGCGCCTTCATCGTTTTTTCCTTCGCCTCAGCAACATCAGCAAAACGCTTTCCTTTCATGTCTCTTGTCATTCGAGGAAACAAAAAAAAAGTCGCACGGGGCAAGATCGGGTGAGTATGGAGGGTGAGGAACAGGGGTCATACCATTTTTGGTCAAGAATTGTTGTACAGACAGGGCTGTGTGAGCAGGGTCATTGTCATGATGGAAAAACCAGTCACCCGGCTGCCACAAATGTGGCTGCTTCCGCCACAAACTGTTGCGTAATCTTTTCAAAACTTCCAAGTAGAAAGCCTGGTTAACTGTCTGAGCCTGTGGAACAAACTCTGAATGGACAACTCCTCTCACATCAGAAAACAAACCAGCATTGTTTTCATGTTTGATTTCACCTGACGAGCTTTCTTGGGGCAAGGCGAACTTGAAGTCTTCCACTGGCTTGATTGTTGCTTTGTTTCAGGATCGTAAGCATAGCACCAGGTTTTGTCACCGGTGATAATTTTTTAAAAAAAGTTTTGATCATTTCGGGACTCTTCTTTCAAAGCACAGCATGCTTCCACGCGACCATGTTTTTGTTCAACAGTCAGCAGTTGTGGCACAAATTTCGCAGCCACATTTTTCATTCCCAAATCTTCTGTCAAAATTCGCTGAACTGAGCTCCAAGTCACTCCCAACAGCTCCACAATTTCTTCAATGGTCTGTCGTCGATCTTCCTTGATGATTTCACGAATTTTTTCAACATTTTCATGTGTTCGGGCCGTGGAAGGACAACCAGAATGAGGTTTGTCATCAATTGACATTTCACCTTTTTTGAAACGGGAAAACCACTCAAAACTTGAGTTTTCCCCATAGCATCGTCCTTGTACGCCGTTTTTAACATTTCAAGAGTTTCTGTTCCACTTTTCCTGAGCAAAAAGCAGAATTTCACTGCCGCACGCTGTTCACGAAAATCAGCCATTGCAAAAACGACGATCACACAAAATAGTTGTCACTATAAACTCTGCCGAAACTAGTCCTTACCTTCTGAAGCAACGTAATCAGCTTATCAACTCAGGAATGTTAGCTCTATGCGCTCATAGCGGCAAAACACGGTACTACAAAAGTTCTGCCCACAGAAAAATTAGTGTTTCTTTTGGGTACCCCATCGTATATGGGACTATTGAAATTTGACATTAGGATTGAAACTGTCATCATATCCTACAAAGGCAACACCTATGAGGTATTTCTTGAGTAGTCCATATCAGAGGTCCCCATGCTGGCACATAACAATATTTACATGTCTGTTTCCTCTTTCTGCCCACATTGACAGGCTGTTACAGTTTTGGTAAAAGGCTCTTTTCATCATGGCTCCTACATGCCCAGTAATTTCATTGCAAGGAAAATCTGATGTGAATGTGAAAACCTGTTCTCAAATTGTTACTGTCAAGATGGTGGCTGCATGGTTCATAACATTTGAACTGAAAGATCTAGAGAAAGATATCAAACAAAACAAACTCTGTGGTTTCAGTCCGCAAGTGAACTATACCGACCAAGTGACCACGGCTTGTCGGTGAACTTAGTGCCGACTTTAGCGAATAGAGGGTGTTGCATGTTCAGGGCAATGAATTTTATGTTTTCTAGACCAGGAGGGAAAGACATATGACACATAAAGCCAATGTATGTCCAAAAATCCCTGTATGCAGGCTGGTTTATAAAGATTTTTAACATAATATTTATCGTTGTTCTTATTAAATCTTTTACCAAGTGCTGGACCATATTACAGAGTAATACAAGTCTATTCTTAGTAAATTTTATCCTGTGTTAAAAGGTTTTCTCGTTTGATTTCTATACAGGCATGTATAGCCATGGATGTTGATGTGCCTCTAAGCATTCACACACCTGTGTTGGTTCCTGGGTCTGCTTTCATTGAAACGTCTGACAAATGAATGCTTGTAGTTACTATAGGATTCTGACAATGGTGTATAACACACAGAGATATTGGGTTTTCGGACTTTATCCATCGTCCTGGTTTTTAAAATAACTAAGAAAAAACACGACATTTCGGAAACTGGATCTGTTTCCGTCCTCAGGTGAGGTAAAACACCTATTCTGTTGGGTCCTTTAGAAAGAGGTAGCCTCAATCACTGGACAACCGATGTCACAATACACAAAGGTTATAAACACCTGAGACCAGGCTAAGTCCATGAGAGCTCTCATTGACTTAGCCATGGGACCCAACAGAATAGGTGTTTTACCTCACCTGAGGACGGAAACAGATCCAGTTTCCAAAACGTCGTGTTTTTTCTTAGTTATCTTAAAAACCAGGACGATGGATAAAGTTTGAAAACCCAATATCCCAAATGAATGTTTGGTATATGTGTGTGTTGACACACGCAGATGGTGGTCTATGAAGATGGAGAAAACTGATTGTCGCTTCCATTGAGTTGGCATCACAAAACCTTTTGCATCATCGTGTGTCATGTTTTTTTTGTTTTTTTTTTGCAGCACATTTACCCGGCATTCCTCAAACCCTGCTGAGGTGGAAAATTTCTTTGAAGTTAATGAAACTTTTCATATTGGCAGAAAAGCATGAAGTTTAAGAGATCAATATATTAGTATATCTGTTTAATTCCTTTTAAATAAAGGCTGAAATCCTGGTTCTGTAACAGACTCAGAGTTCATGTTTTGTACATTGGTTTGTGACCAGTTGAAATTGTGTGATGATAGATCTTTGAAAGATACGCACCTTTTGTTAGGTAATTTCATATACAGTCTGAAGCATCGGTGCAGTAGCACATGGAATCCATGTTTAGCTTTCAGTTTGCTGATGAACAGTTGGAATGTGTGAATGTGTGGTTATAGATTGCAAACCTGTTTACCTGTCAGGAATTATGAACATGGTGATTATGTGTAACTTTAAGGTTTTTATCTAATGAATCTGTATTATTGGAAATAATGTGCAGAAATTTCATGTTTACTTACAGAATTGAGCAGCCTAATATCTTAGTAACAGACAGACTGTTCATGGCATTACAGAGATGTCCTCTGATAGAAAGGGTTTGTGTGATCAGTACTGAGAACAGCCGTCTGTCAAGTGAATCATCAGTGATAAATTTAGTATCTGGGGCCCCAAAACTTGTCTTCCTGTACATATGGCTGTTCAGACTGACTCAGGTAGCATGCAGACAAATTAGAAGGTGTATCTCTGAAAGGTATGTGTATTTTGGGTAATTATGTATAAATTGAGTTGTAAAATGTTCACAAGCAAATTCATCCATAGTTATAGTTCACATGGTTCCAGATAGCCACAGCATTATGTTTCATGTTGTTGTGACATGATGGCTGAAAGCTGGAATAGTTTATTGAATAGATGCATCAATTGGTAGCCAACTTCCACAGCAATAGAGGAATTGATGGAAGGAGTGTTTCCCCTATGGTCTGTGCTGAGATTGTCTGGTGAGAACCAACTGGACAAACAAACAAGTCAATACTGGGTCAGTGTTTGGAGTCAGAGGTTAGCAGCCATTTCCTAGCAACAACTAGTGACAACAGAATAACAAACAGAAGACTTCATGTGCACTATAGTTATAGTGATATAGAGAGTGTGCATGTCAGACTGTTATAGTCATTTTTACTTACGAGTTATAAGCATTATTGGTACATGGAATGTAAGAAGTCTCTGTAGGGCAGTTTCGCTGATGACAGTTAACGGAAGAAATATCAAAATATAAGTTAGATGTAGTGGGAATACAGAAAGTCAGATGGGACAGAGGTGGCACTGAACCAGCAGACAAATATACATCTTTCTGTTGAAAGGGGATTGAGAATGATCAATTAGGAACAGTTTTTTTTCTTATGCATAAGAGAATCATAACAGCAGTTAAGAGGGTAGAGTTTGTTAGTGATAGGATGTTGTACATGATACTGAGAGAGGTCACTGCTGTGATATAATTGTTCTGAATGTTCTTGACCTAACAAAGGATAAAACTGATGATATGAAGGACAGCTTCTGTGATGAACTAGAATGTGTATTCGATAAATTACCTAAATAGCAAAGAACAAAGAACAGTGGAACTAGAGAACAGTCATTACTGGGTAACAGCTGTGTAACACACAGCAGTGGAATAACTGTTGGAAGTGTTGCAGCTGAACCCCAAAAGCAAATGTTATGCTTTACATATATCATGAAAATCTAAGAACAAAAATTTTTTTTTAATCCTTGGTTAGCAGGCATGGCATAATAACCCCTTCTGATGTAAAAAGTAATGTATGTTGAACATTCCAGGAGAATAAAACAAATGTTGGTTGTATAGGTGTAAATATTGTGACGTATTGCGCTATGCATGACACCCCCTCCCCCGCCAGCGGTGACATAACAACATTGGAGCACTGTCGCTGCTACGGTAACAGGCCAGTCAACACTCCGCCCCCACCCCCACGGTGACGTAACAACACTTCCCCCTGTGACATAACAGGGGATACCACTGTTGACACAGGCAACAAGGAATGGTATAAAAATTGTGAATTGCGTAAGTGTACGAGCGAATGTGGAATAAATTTGCTACATTCAATATGGCGTAAAGTTATTTGTTGTGTTACAAACACCCAACACGTGACAATTTGGTGTCAGAAGTGTTTACAAACTGAAACACGCCTCAGTTTAAGGGGAATTGTTGAATTCACAAGTACATTGAGTGTTGTCCTACAGAAAAAAAAATGGAGAAGCAAGATATGCAGCGATCAATCAAAATGCTGGCAAAGGCAGAGCCTATAGAAAAACCAATGAAGAAGATTTCCTGGCAAAAATGGACACCGAAAGAAAACCCGACAAAGAAGATTTCATGGCAAAATTAGACGCCAACCAAGAGAAGGCAGATGCCGATAGAAAAGCTTGGCGAGAAGAGATGGCTGCAGAAACGGAAGTGATCAAAGCAAGGACGAAAGGCATGCAAGAAAATATGGGCACCAGCCACAAGGAGATAGTGGCCGAAAGCAAACCTGAAATGGACATAAAGACGATGGCCTGCCAAGAAACAATGGAGGCGCATGTAGAAGAAGAAGAGATGATGGCCCGCCAGGAGATAGAGCCACGTCTAGGAGAAGAACAGCTAACCTCACTGGACAGGAAACCTGAGGCAGCAGAACAACAAGAAGTCCCAACGAAGGTGCCGTAGTGAAACCAGTCAAAGGACAGAAGAGGAGGCATAGGGGCAAGAAGCAAGCTGCAGGGCGATGTGGAGAGCCGAAGAAACTGACCCGAGGAGATTGTGGATCCCGGATGAAGTTGGCTGCCGCCTGCAGGAAGGTATCCTGCTGTGCAGCAGTGGCACGACACAGGAGAGATGCCTTCAAGAAAGAACGGACCCAAAATCAGGGTGGGTGCTAGAAGAAATGTGTCGCCAATCCTGGAAGGATGACCCACCATGCAGGAGTGGCATGGCACAAGGGACACATGGTCAGGAACAACCAGACTTGGAACAACGTTGCAAGAGGAGACTTCAGGTGGAACTGGAGGGCAGCATGGGAGTGAAGAATGAACACACAAGACGGCGGCTGCATCTTGGGGACGAGAGAACAGCCAGCCGAACCCTCAGGAAGACCCTAGGGCTGTATATCGAGCAACAAGCAGTAGAGATTTCCAGCAGGTTACAGAACATCAAAAACTGGACACTGTGGAGGGTCGACCCCCCCGAAACACCAGCCTCCCTGGCATGAATGGAGAATGAAAGTGATGANGAAACAAGGAATAGAGGAGGAACCAGTGATATAGAAACACCAGCCTCCCTGGCATGAATGGAGAATGAAAGTGATGAGTGAATGTGATACAGTGGATTGACGAATGCTGGACCATGGAATTGCTCGGGACGAACACTCCTAAGAGGGGAGCAGAGGATGTAACGGCTGGAGAATAGTCGCTGCAAGAGGAATAGCTGGACAAAAAGAAGAAGTCATTACGAGAACAGCCTGCAAAGAAAAGGAACAGGGATGTACCGTTAGGCTATTCGGGACAAACAGCCTTAAGAAGGGAGCATTGTGATGTATTGTGCTATGCAGGACACCCCCTCCCCACCAGCGGTGACGTAACATCAGGGCGCTGTCACTGCTACGGTAACAGGCCAGTCAACACTCCACCCCCTTCCCCGGCACTTCCCACTGTGACATAACAGGGATACCGCTGTTGACACAATCAAGAGGGAATGGTATAAAAAGCCGGCTGAGCAGTATGTGAAGAGAGTGTATGATCAGGAATAACACAGTGTGGATCGTGAAGTCACCGAGTGCAGTTGAAGTCTAGCAGTCGCCGAAAGCAGAGGAAGTAATTTTTATACTGCTAATGGCAGTAATTGTGTAATTGTGAATTGTATAAGTGTACGAGCGAATGTGGAATAAATTCGCTACATTCAATACGGCGTAAAATTATTTGTCGCATTACAAACACCCAACATGTGACAATACTATGGGTTTGAAAATGTAAACCATATAAAATTAATTCACATGTTTCCAAACAGATGCCTCACAGTTATCGCAGAACATCTGTGTGGTTATATAACATTGTCTAGTTATGAAGGCAAATCGAAAAGTCTTTCCCCCTATTTTTTTCAGCCACAGTAATACACACACAGGGATATCAAAATAGAGACAGTGTTCTAAGTATCTTGACTATTTTTCCACATAGTCACCACCCCGGTTCAGACATTTGTCTGATCCCACCACTAGTTTGGAGATGCTGTTGTAGAATTCGGCCGGTTGAGTGTGGAACCACTGCTGGACAGCGGTTTTTGCTCGTCAGAAATGAACCTCTGGCCTGCCAGGAACTTCTTCAGTTGACTGAACACATGGTAATCACTGGGGACGAGGTCTGGATTATACAGTGCATGCTCCATAATCTCCCATCTGAATGATTGCAGTCATGCCAGGGGATTCTTGTGGACAATGTGGTTCTTCTCCATGACAACACCAGGTCTCATGTGGCAACCAGGACTGCCCGACTGCAGTTGTTCAGATAGGAGATTATGGAGCATGCACTGTATAGTTCAGACCTCACCCCCAGTGATTACCACGTGTTCGGTCCACTGAAGAAGTTCCTGGCAGGCCAGAGGTTCATTTCTGATGACAACGTGAAAACTGCTTTCCGGCGGTGGTTCTGCACTCAACCGGCCAAATTCTACAACAGCGGCATCTCCAAACTAGTGGTGCGATTGGACAAATGCCTGAACCGGGGTGGTGCCTGTGTGGAAAAATAGTCAAAGGTACTTAGGACACTGTTTGTACAGGGTTGGGCACAGAAACTTCCTTTTTGTGAAGATGCATTGTGAAGGGAGGGGAGGTCGCAGAAAAGTGGGGATAGGCTCTGCGAACACAGCAGTCGCGGAAGTTTCTGTCTAATACCCCTCAGTAGGAAACATGAGGTGGACAAGTGAGCAGCGTGCGTTTGCTGTCGAAGCCTATTTTTCGAACAACCATTCCTACGTGGCGGTGCAGCGTGCGTTCCGTACTCACATTGGAATTAAGCCTAGAGGTCCTGTTCCCAGCCGGAAATTGATTGTTTTATGGGTAGAGGACTTTAGGACAACCGGGAGTGTGGTGGAAAAATCATGAGGACGACAACGGACCGTTACGACTCCAGAAAATGTGAAGGCAGTTCAGCAGTCGATTTTGAGATCTTTTTTGTACCAGCTCTTGAAGAAATGCATCTAGGAAATGTCTGGTTCTAACAGGATGGTGCCGCGGCCCACACAGCCCGAGCTTCGATGACAGTTTTGAGGGCAAAGTTCCCCAGACGGCTCATCTCGCTTCAAGGTGACATCCCATGGGCAGTGCACTCACCTGATCTAACACACTGTGATTTTTTTATGGGGATACCTCAAGGCAGAGGTTTCTAAACATTGCCCCACAAACCTGCTTCAGCTGAAGAATGTTATTCAGCAGGAAGTAGCCCAAATTCCGATGTACATGTTGGAACATGCAGAGGGGAACTTCAGAAAACGGTTGCATCAGTGCATAGAGAACGGTGGCCACCACCTTCAAGATACAGTAAAACTTGGTTATAGCAACATCGGTTTCTGCGACACCTTGTCCATTGCGTCAAATATTCAATGGTACGAACTAATTCCTCATAAAGCAACTGTTTTTATACCTTGCTTAGTACGACATGCACAAATGCATCAACCTCGTATGTAACGTCATTTTCTTTCCTGAATTTCTCTGATATCGTGGGAAAGTTCGATGTGTCTGCCCACCCTCACTTTCTCTACTTGCTGACGTGACTGTNTTACTCTCCAAATATAATTAGAATGATCAAGTCAAGGATGATCAGGTGGGCAGGGCATGTAGCACAAATGGGGGAGATGAGGAATGTATATAGAATATTGGTGGGGAAGCCAGG